AAGGATCAATACTTGGACCTTTATTGTTTTTAGTTTATATCAATGATATTTTTTTGTCTTCAAAAATACTTAATTATACTATTTTTGCTGATGACACTAATGTTTTCTTTTCTGACTCAAATTTAAAAAATATTTTTTATTATGTAAACGCTGAACTAATATATCTTAATGAGTGGTTTATAGCAAATAAACTATCATTAAATATTGAAAAAACTAAATATATTTTGTTTGCTAAACCATCTCAATCCGAGAACCTTCCACTTAAACTTCCAGAACTAACAATTAACAATATTAAAATAAAAAGAGTTTTTTCAATGAAAATACTAGGAATAAATTTCGATGAACATTTAAATTGGAAAAGCCAAATAAAGTTAGTCGAGAACAAAGTTTCAAAGACTGTGGGGATTATGTACAGGACAAAACATCTTTTGAATAAAATATGTTTAAAAAACTTATACTTTTCATTTATACATAGTCATATTAACTATTGTAATATTGCCTGGGCAAACAATCATTCATCTTTCCTAAAAAATATTTATACTAAACAAAAGCAAGCAAGTCGATTAGTTTTGGGCGCAGATAGGTACGAAAGTGCCAAGCCGTTACTCAAGGAAATTAATGCGCTAAACGTATACGAACTAAATATATACCATAACTTGTTATTTATGTTTAAACTTCAAAATGAACTAATTCCAAAATATTTTTATAAAGGTTTCTCTCTAATTAACCATAAATATGAAACAAGACACTCAATAAATAATTACTACATCCCACCAACATCACTCAAAAAATCTGACTTCTCAATTACATGTCAGGGGCCACGCTTGTGGAAGTCAGTTCTTGACGAAAATATGAAAAAAATAAAATCTATTGATATATTCAAAAGAACTATAAAAAAACACTTACTAAACTCAAACATTACATACATTCTTTCATTTTTTTAAAAATAATATTTTTTTTGATAAATTTGATAAAAAGCTTTTTTTTTTTTTTTTTTTTTTTTTTTATATATATATATACATATATATCTTTCTTGTTTGATTTTCTCTTTGACTGTTTTTTTTTTTAACTTTTTTTAATAAATACTAACAAATGAATTTAAATCTACATAACGTTTGGAATCTTTTTAATATATAAATATTTTTGAATATATACTTCGCTTTGTATTGAATATGTATACGTATATGTACTGATTTGTAAAAAAAAATTCAAACTTTTTAATTTACGCATTGTATACATTTTTATTTTTTTATTTCGAGATTTTATTATTATTATTATTATTTTTTTTTTTCTTTCTAATTTTTACTTTTTTTAATTTTTAATTTATTTTAAACTTTTTAATTTTTTTCAATCTTTTTACTTTATTTCAAACTCTTTAAATTTTTTTATTTTTATTTTAATTTTGTTTGAATGTTTGTTTATTTTTTCAAAATTTTTAATTTAACTCTTTTTTATATTATTGGAATTTTAGAAATTTTATATTTCTCTATTTCACAAAAGGGCTTGATGATAAGACTTTATGTCTTCTACTTGCCCCTGTCAGCTTGTAATTATATATATATTTATTCGAATTTAAAGATAACATTGTAAAATGTGTAAAACGACAAAATAAACTAACTAAATTAAAAAAAAAAAAAAAAAAAAAAACTATTCTAAAAGATTTAAACTTAAGTTAAAAACTTAATTCAAGTATTATTAGTTTTATTTTGATATTATTTATTATAGGAACCACTACTGTTCTTATGCAAGAGAAAATATAATCTAACCAAAAATAACCAACAGAATAGTAAGCAAGTACCTACTCCTATGACGCAAAAAAAAGAAAAAGAAAACAACTTTTATGCATACTCTGCATACTTTAGTTCAAGGTATTGATTGTCTGTCTGCAAGTTGTTTTAGAAAGAAAAGATTTTGAATGTTTTTTTTTCTATGCTTTTACACATTTTATTGGTTGTTAATTAATATATTTTATTTATTTTAATAATGTTTTAAAGTTATTTTTTTCTTTCTGTTTTTTTTTTTTTCTTTGTTATGATATTTTATTTAATTGGTATGACATTTATTTTTATTATAACATTTAGCAAAAGTTATTTTATTTCTAGCAATCTAGTATTGATTATTTTTTTACGTGGTTGATTTTTTGATCTTAAAAATATTAGGATCAGCAATGGCAAGATTTTCCAGAGGAAAGAGAGTATTTTAATATAGTGCAAAGCGAAGGTGGGGTGTGTGTTTTTCCACATAAAAGAAAAAAGGTTGTTTAACCAGACACAAATGCATTTGTTTTCCTTATAAGAAAAGCTACTAAAAAAGATTCCTTATCAAATGGAAAATCTCCCATTACTGAGGAAAGTATGAGATATATTTGATATTTATTTTGGTATGCATTCATTTTATTAATTAGTAAAAAAGCAAGTAATTATCTTTAAGCCATTAGAAGAAATATATTTTTTCAAAATCCAATAATTTTGTTTATTTAATAAATAAATATTTTGAATTAGTGTATTTGGTTCTTGTGTTTCAATGCTTTTAGAAATTAACTAATGTTTGGTTCTTTTGTCTTACTGTTATATCTTTATTATTAGAATTTCAGAAAAAAGTTTTAAACGCACTGGTAGAAATGAAAGAGATGTTAGTAAAGTTCTTTCCAGTAATTAAAATAATATCACAACAAATAGTCCTGATATTTTATGGATAAATTCGCAGCAGTCATTTAGTGATTATGATGACAGTTTTAATGATTTTTGGGTGAGGTCTGAAGTTAAGTTATTTCAAATCATGACTTTTTGCAACTTTTTTATTGCTTTTTTGGGATTATGTATTTGCTTAAGTTAATCTACTTGTAACTTTTTATAAATGTACTATAAAAATAATGTAATGTAATTATTTTCTTAACCCTTTAGGGATTATGATAACAGTTTAAACGGGTGATGTCTGAAGTGGTAATTTTTATTAAACCATTATTTTTTGTATTTTTAAACTATTACTTTTTGCACTTTTTTTATATATATTATTTCGATTATGTATTTTCTTAAGTTAATCTACTTGTAACTTTTTATATATGTATTATAAAAAGAATGTTGTGTAATTATTTTCTTAACCCTTTAGGTTAACAAACTTTCTAAAATCAGAGGTAAGACAAATACAAAAAATGTGAATCAAAGGTTAGTTAAAATTAGTTTTAAATAAAAAACCTTTTGAATCTTGTTATAGTTTGTTTTAAAAATATGTTTAGCTTATATCTCTAAAAGTTTGACGAATTCTTATCAGACATAAAATAAACCTTTTTTTTTTTATGTCAGATTTTTTTTTGCATTGAGCTAAAGAACAACTTTGATGCACAAAGGTTGTTTTGTAACTCATACTTAACCTTTTTTTTGCTCTATATATACATATAAATATGTACATAAATAAACATATATATATATATGTATATATATATATATATATATATATATATATATATATATATATATATATATATATATATATATATATATATATATATATACATATATATTATATATATTTTTTACTTTATTATACATTAATTTACTATATTACTATATTTACTACATTATATACATTATATATATTTTTTGTACTTCATGGCTGATGATTGCCGATTGGCATGAGACTCTAAGTTCCATTAAAAGTTGTTTTTTCTATATTTAAGTAATTGCTATTGCGCAATTGCTCACTTTTTTTGCTAGCCAAGTGAGAGTTTTTAGAAAACGATGAGGGAAAACGAAGAATAATAAATGAAAAGGTTGCTGACCCATACCAAACCCTCAGTCGATGTAGCAGCACTCCACTGCGAGTCAGGCTATTTGTCAGTCGATGTATGTACTGAAGCCCCCAGCGCAGGCTATTTGACGTAAGGTGAGTATGACATCATAATGTTCACCTAACTCAGCAGTATAAGATATAATGATAATAATAATGTATAATGCAGGTTAACTAAGGCAATACCTTTTATTCTAGAGAGCCTCATGTCAATTAAAGCGACTGCTACAGTTGCCGAAATAGGAAAAGAAATAATGACTTTATTAAAATATGCACTCGACAGATCGAATGGTGGTGGTCGGTACAAAACAACATTCATACTTTTTCCTAATTGTTCTGAAACTATTGTTAAATAAAACTTTTTTTTTTCAAACAGTTTATTTTATTTGCATTTTATATAAAGTCCCTTGAAGCAATTTAGTTGTATCTGATTAATTTATGTGAAATATAATATCCTCTGCACAAATTATTGCTTTTTAATTGTGTTATTTTATTGCAATTAAAGTTGAGATAATTTTTTAGTTAATTGGATTTTAACCAAAATAAAAAACAAAAATCAACATTGAATTTACGTTGTTTCGACGTTCCAACGTCGTATCAACGAATATCACCTATTCAAAGTTGAAATATGGTTGATATGTAGTTGATATGACATTAGAACAACGTTGAAACAACGTAATCGTCGACGTTGTTTCAATGTCGTAGTTTTCAACGTCGGATTTTATTTCCAATTCAACTAAATTTCAATGTTGTTTCAACGTGGCATATGGTCGGTTTACGATGTTGTTTCAACGTTATTTTAACGTCATTGTGCCTGCTGGGTACAGATGAACTATTGTATCATACAGATGAACCTGTAACATACAGATGAACCATTAAAAGATTTCTCTTTTTTATATAATAGCATAATTGTGATTTTATTTTATGTTGCTTAATTATTTGTTAAAACCTTCAATGCTATTACTGTTGTATTTTATTCTGTATATTCATATTTACCTATATATTATATTTATTTATATTTTATATTTACTTGTTTTATAATTGTATTTTATTTGTTGTATTGTATTTTATTTTGTCACAAATAGCAATTTTACTAATGGTTGTATAGTTTTATACTAAATTGAACAATTTTATTTCATGCTGATAATAAAATAATAACTATTGAAAATATCTAAACTAAACGTGTATAGTTTTAGCAATTAATAAAAACATACCAGTTACATGGTATCAACAAAGCTGGTTCAAACATAGGAAGGTCGTCAACATTTCGATCAAGAGAAAAATATTGCTAAAATAATAAAAAATTTTGTAAAAAATTTTAAACATCTGATTACTGTTCTATAATATTTCTAGAACTTAGTTTTAAAAACGCTTTTAAAAAATTTGAAATAGAAATTTCAGTTTTTTTGGTTAAGTAATAAATGTACATCAATATAGTGATAAAATGAAGTGTAATGTTTTTCAGAATTCGGGAGAGAGAGAGAGAGGGGAGGGGGTTTACCTAAAAACATACAAATGAGAGAGAGGGGTGTTAAAATGCATTAAATTTCGTGTGTTTAAAAAATTCAGTCTTATTTAATAGAGAAACAAAAAAATAAAAGAAAAGAAATAAAAAGTTAATAAAAAAAATTAATTGAATTTTTTTGTGTTTTCAAAGTTTTTGAAAAATTTATGTGTTGGGGAAGGGGAGGAGTGATCGTGTAATAAATAATCTATATGTACGCAGAGGCAGGGGGAGTTTTTGCACACCACACAAAGAGGGGAGGGAGGGTACAAAATAAGTAATTTTACTGTGTATGTACTTTATGGATATAAATATATATTTTAAAACCAATTTTAAAACAAAAAACCAAACCCCTACAGTTGGTTTTTGTTTTAAAATTAGTTAATTTGATGTGAGGATTTGATGTAGGGCTACCACTTATTTTAAAACTAAAAATTTCACTTAAAAGATTTTTACTGGGTATTCCTGTTGTATGGGTGTCAATACTGGAGGACGGCAATAACCTATAACAAAAAAAATAATATAAATACAAAAATAAATAAAATTTTTAAAACATTAATAAAATAATAATTATATTACTCTAAAAAATTATTATTATACTAAAAAGTATATTTTAAATTAAATTAAAATATACTTTTTAATATAATAATCAAGTATATTAAATTATAATTGCTGAGATGAAATTATTGGCAATAAAACATGAAGTATAAAAAATTAAGTACAAGAATTAAAAAAACTAAATCAAAGGTTTTTAGCTACCACCTGCACCACCACCTCCATCAAAACTACTACTAGCTACACCGCTACCTCTGTCAACACTACCACTATCTGCTCCACTATTTCAGTCAACACTATCATTAAGTGTAAAATGTTCATAGCGCAGTTGTAAGTTTTTTGGTAAGTTATCATTTTACAAAATTTTATTTAATTTTAATTCAATATCACATAAAGTTCTTATGACAAAAATTTATTTGTGAACATAAATAAAATATTTTTTATGAACAAAACTAAAAATTTACTTAAAAGCATAAATAAAAATTTATTTGTAAATAAAAAAAAAAAAATTATTTATAAATGAAAACAAAAATCTATTTATAAATAAAAACAAAAATTTATTTATGAACTTAAATTATGTTTTTGAATATCTTAATGATAACTGATAAAATCTAAAAATTGTTTTTTACTTTTTATTTATCTGAAAAAGTTTTAAAATTTAATAGTTCTTTAAATCACTAAAAAAACAAAAAACAAAAAAAATTTTAAGTAAAATATTTTTAAAGAAAAATAATAAAATGATAAAAAAAAAAAAAAATTTAAAGACAAGAGAAGTTTTTTTAAGAGGTTCTGAAATGAAATATCCTGAAAGTAAAAAAAAAATAACTAACTTTGCAAGTAATGAATAACCATCATAACTAGAGAATAACTGGACAAAGTTCCTTGGCTAGCATCATTTATGGAACGAGACTTTGCCCAATGCTTCACTGCCATTATTAAAGGACGAACACGATCATCAACTGGAAAAAAAACAAAACTTTATAATCAGCAAATGTAAAACCATACATCAACAAAAACAAAATTAACAACATAATTAAACAAATATGATGAAGTTAACATAAATTATAATAAATTTAATGTAAGTTTAACACAAATTTAATACAAGTTTAACATGAATTATAAATATACTTACATACACAATAAAAATATATATAAATTTAATAAAATAAATTGAATTTTTGTTTTTGTCAACTAACTGTATAACTGAATTGAATATCAATCAATTGAATTACTTTTAGAATATGTACGGAGAAGGTGTGTATTACGAATTCCCTACAAGCATAAAAAATCTTGAGTTTGATTTTTCCTTACTTGAAAAAAATTTTTAAAATTATAATGTAATAAATACAACCATGTAAATTTTTCAAAATATTTATAAAATAGAGAAAAATAGAATAGTTTATTCTATATAATTTATAGAAAAATATTTAATAAACTTACAATTGAGTTGTTTGTGTTTATATCACAATCGCATCCACTAAAAAAAATATAATACATAAAATTAAACAACATTAAATAATTTTAAACAATTGTACAAGTTTTTATTACTCTTTATATTCCCTAAAAAATTTTAATCTTTAAAACTCAAACATCTTACTGATAATTTACTTGATAAATAACTTGATTGTTAACTAAATTATATGTTAACTAACTTACTTGAGAACTAACTGACTTGGGAATAGTAAACGACTGAGGTTGATATTTGACTGGGGCCGGGCCGAGTTTAATAAAAAAAGCTGGGGCGGGGTTTGTGACCGGGGTTGCATAAACAAATATACATCCTAAAGTATATTTTATTTTATTCAAAATTCATGTTACATTTTGTATATATATGCATATATTAAAATCATTATGATCAACATGATCATTATAATCATCATTACCATCATGATCATGATCATCATCATTATCATCACCAGGCTTTAGCTTTCCTCTTTTATGCTATTTCTTTAATGTAAACAATCGAATAATTATGCTATTTCTCTAATATAAATTAATTAATGAAAAATTATGCTATTTCTCTAATATAAACAATCTAGAGCATTTTTTTTCTTTAATTAAAACTCTTTCATACAATAAAAAGCACTCTCTTTTTTACTTCTATCACTACCATTTTCTCCTGAAACTTCTACCTCTCTACATACTGATACCTAAATCACTTTAAAATTCTGTAACAAGTTGTCCGATAAGACACATTTTTCTTATATGTCTGAGACTATGCCCCCTTTTCTTGTTGTGTTAGAGTCACACCACACATTCATCTGATCATCTTCTATTTTGGCAAATACAGCACTATATAAATATTAAAGTTTATATAAACATGAAGGATATTGCTTGCTAGCATCAAAATAAATGGCAAAAATATATGTTTATATCTATAATATGTATGCATAAAGTGCATCTTGGAAGCTTTTATTCCTTCTGCAATAAAAGCTTGGAAGCTTCTATTCCTTCTCTTCAATATAATGTCTCATTCTACTCTGCATTTTTTACCATCTTGAGCAGTTGCTTTATTAAACAGTAATCATTTTTTTCATATTTTTTACAAGAACATCTCTCTTATAAACAAATGTCTTTTTATTATTCCAAGAAGCCAATGGTCCTGTTTGTTGTTAATCTCTATTATTCTAAGTTTAAAAAATCTTGTTTCTTATCTCAGATGTTAGGACCTAGAGACTTTTGGTAAGTCTTCAACTATGTCATTAACTAAAGTAAGTCTAACATTTAATCTCAAATTCATGTCTGACTTTTTACTTCTCCCCAGAATAAGGCAGAGTGTTTTGCAAAAAAATCTTACTCTAATTCAACTCTTGAATCTAATGGCCACACTCTTCCTGCCAGTTAAACAGATTAACCCATTGTTAAGCATTAAAATCACTATGGTTTCTAATGCTAAAATTAATTCTCAATTAAACATTTGTACAGTTTGTGCTCTAGACAAGATTTCCATCATAGTCTTAAAAAAGTGTTCCCCAGAATTATTTTCAATTTTTACTAAACTTTTAAAAAGTGCTAAATAAATGGTTCCAATTTTTCAAAACTCTAGAAAACACTTTGACCTCTCCAACTATCCTACGATTAGTCTTCACTCTGTTATTAGTTTCTTTATATATTGTTTTTGAGATTGACAAATAATTTATCAACTGCAGAATTAAAGTTATTCTTAGTAACTTTAAGTCTACCACAAAGTTCTATCTTTAATGTTCCTGTAATGTTTCTTATCTACAATAACAATCTTCATGAAAATTTTACATCTAGAGTATCTCTATTTGCTGACGACTCAGCTTTATACTCTTGTCTTGACTAAAAATCATCACTTTTTGATTGCTTCAAAATCATCACTTTTTGATTGCTTCAAAATCATCACTTTTTGATTGCTTCAAAATCATCACTTTTTGATTGCTTCAAAATCATCACTTTTTGATTGCTTCAAAATCATCACTTTTTGATTGGTCAGAACAAGGGCCGGTTTTTAATCTGATCTCTCTTCTGAACAGCCTAAGGCTTGCAGTGGTTTGTGGATTTAAATTTTTAAAGCAACAAAACTCATTTATTTACTGCTAAAAAATGTTGCAATAATTTTTGACATTCCTATATTGACAAATAACAACCCTCTTACTCTCAGACAAAGTCTAAAAGCACATAGTAAATGTAGCTAGACCTGCTTTATCTGCTTAGCTTGAACCACTCTCCCATTGTTGTTTGGCTGCATTCCTTTCTTTTTTCTACCAATACTTTTACTTTCTAAATACAAATCATGATCAATGTTTAAATGAGTTTTTATCACTATTATGTAAAACATAATTCTGCACCTCCTAAAAAGTCACATATTTCTGCCCCCCCCCCCCCTCTAAAACAAAAACAAATCATTACGGAATTTTTAACATTCTAACAACGTAGTAGTAGCTATTTAACAGAATAAAAGACTCAATTTAACTAACTTGGTATACTTTCTTAATTTATTGGGAAAGATTATAAAGAGTCCTAATAAAATAAAATAAAAATAGTTTTTTTATTTGAACCTCATGTTTTTAATGGAACTGGAACACATTTTACTCATTTAGAGAAATTAAAAATATTGCATTTATGCCATAATATAAATTACTACTAACTTAGTTATACTGACCGCTAATAAGCAACTATCCTATTTACGCTTTTATTTGATAATAATCTGTGTTTCCTATTGGCTATTTAAAGCATGAGCAAGCCTATTTAACTTAGTTATCATATATTATATATTTATTTAGTTATATATTCTTGCTTAAAGGTAAATGTAACTAAAACTCTAGTGTTTATGTAATGTCATTAGATTTAAAAAAATAAATAACATAAAAGATAATAAATTTCATCATATGTTTTATTTACTAATTTAAACCCTTCATTTAAAATTCCTAACTTAAATTATACGTTCTTAATTTAATGATTTTGCACTGCTGCGCTTCAATGTTTTCAGAAACGTGAAGGGAGTTTTTGCGAACTTTTTAAACTATTTAAAACTATTTAATATACGGCTATACGCAAGTATGAGTAAAATTTTTGACAATCTGAAAAACTTATTTAATTGAATGAGTAAATATGTAGAAAATAAACTATCATGATAAAAAATATTTGTGACGTCACATTTATTAACCCCCCCCCTCTCCCCCTTGTCACAAATTGTCACAAAATGATGCCTCCCCCCCCCCTAGTAGAGTGACGTACTTTATGGATGACCCCTTATTCAACAAGTTGTATCCTTTTACAATATCATCCCTTCATGCTATAAAAACTTTTATTAATTCAGTTTATTGTCCTTGCACATCAAAAAAGCATTTTAACTCTTCCCCATCTTTATGTTTTTATTTTTAATACATCCTGCAACTTTTATAGTCTTCAGTTTACCATTTTCTAGTATTTTAACCTGTCCTCTATTTTAAAGTAACTCATTACTTAATAGTGTTTGCTTGCAATCCTGTTGAAAGTAAATTAGAGTTTAAAAATATATAAACATATGCCATTATAAATAGTAATTGTAAATTTAAAATTATAACATTAAAAGTATTATAAATTTTTTTCTAGTTCTGGCTATCAACCCCTGCTAAATCTTACAATTTTGCCGGGGCCAGGTTTGCAAAAAGTCTTATTTCAAGCCAGGGCCGGGGACCCAGTCACTCACTACTTGGAAACTAATTTACCTTGCAACTAAATGTTGAACATATTTAGTTAAATTACAATCAAAGGTTACATAAAGTGATTTAAATAACTTAAAGTATAATTTTGCCCATTTTTTGTACTACTTTCATACGTTTATTTTAATTTGCATCATTTTTTTAATTATATTTAGATAAAAAAAACTATGTGTTTTGTGCCATTTTATTTATTAATTTCAAAATTTATAACACATTTATTAATAATATTTTTAAAACTTTCTGAAGTTGATTTATAGAAAACTTATTCTGCAAAAAAACTTGCAACTGCTTATTAAATAAACAGCGAGAACATTAATAGAGAAAATAAATATGACAAAACCAATCACAAAAAACCTGACAACAAACCAATCACAACAAACTCACAACAAACCTCACAAAAAACTAATGACAACAAACCAATGACAACAAACCAATGACAACAAACCAATGACAAGAAATCAATCACAACAAACCAAGTACAGCAAACCAATCACAACAAAATAAAATAAAAATAAAAACCTCCTTAACAATAGTCGTCTTGGGGAGGTGGATTTGGTGTGTCAAATAAGCTCTCGCATAGAAAAGTTTTTATTAATGAAGAGATTCCCAAAAAAAAAAGTAATTCAAGACTAAAGTAAAAAATAATAACAATATTTCAAAAAATCTGAACAAGATTTATTGTAAAATACTGCTATTATTTAAATTATTATAAATCATAAATATCTACATTTAGGTTTTCTTTTTAATTTCATATGCTTTTTAAATTCAAAGTGCTAATTACAAAAAAAACTTAGTAAAAGCTTTGTGTTGATCCCTGTATTTTAAATTTAGGAAAGCTACATACATATTTCACTTTTTTTGTTTTTTATGTTATTCACCTCCCCAATGTTGAGGGGGCCACTAAAGTCAAGGAGGCTACTTTTTTTTTATTGTGGTTACAACTTTCTCTTGACTATTTAACTCAAAAACACAAATCTTGGCATAGAAAGCTGCGCAGAGAAACAAGTTGAGAGAGGTGGAATCAAACTCAGGAACTTTGTTGCTTACAAAGCAAGTGTTCTGACACTACACCACTTGATGTATTCAAGTGTAGTAATGTGTGGTTAGAGTTGCAAAAAAACGCGTTTTTTTCCTTTGGCGTTTTTTTGGGTCAAAAAAACGTGTTTTTTTGGTTTTTTTGATGTTTTTTTGGTTTTTTTGGTGTTGTATTGCTTTTTTTAAACAATTTTTCAGTTTTTTTTTACATAAATTTAGGACTAGTTTTCCTTTAATCTAGTATAAATTTTAGTATTTGGCCATTAAAAGCACAATTAGATGTATAAACACCAGTTTAACAAAAAAATTTTATAAAAAATTTAAATTAGCTTTAAGTTAGTTATATATTTAGGTATACTGTATGAAAATGTTTATTTTCTGTTTTATTGTACTAACAACTGTGATACTCTCATTATATATAAAAACTATTCTTATTCTATAAAAAAGTTACCATTTTAATTTTGATAATGTAAATACATTAATGTATAACACCATGCAAATTTGATATCAGACTTAAAATGCTCAAAAAAATAAGCTATCTATCAAGATTATTAACTTAATTAAGCATTTGTATATTATGTAGTAATTAAGTCTTACATTGTTTGTTTGTTATATCAAAAAAAGAGTTATTGCTAGTATGCCCATTAAAAAAAAGCCCTATACTGAACTTAGTTTCAAGGAAAATTTAAAAACTTTTTAATTATTATTATTTACGGAAATTCCCAGACCCCATTCACCTGATGATTCATAATTTATTTATTTGTAATTAATTTTTTAACAGCATTTTTTTTTTCTAATTACATTTATTCATCTAAATATTTTCATATAGCACTATATCAGAACACTTGCAAAATTCTTTAATATGCTCTGTTTATTAAGTTCAATTTTTAGACATAATCTTATAGCAAAAGAATTGTTTATCTTTTTTTATTTTACTAATTTGGTTCAGAGGTTTAATGGGTGACTAAGGTTTTATTTCTGTATGGAGAGCCTAATCATAATTCTTTTTGTTCTTCTTGTTGATTACCAACAAGAAAAAAAAATTTACTTAATAATTTAAAGATATCCATTTCTCTTTATATATATATATATATATATATGTATGTATATATAGATATTATGGTGCTTTAAAAATCACTACTCAGTGTTAAAGTATTTTTTGTCTTAATCTATTTTTTGTCAGTATTTTTTGTGTTAATCTATTTTTAGTTTCTAACTCAGAAAAGATTTATATAAAGTTTCTCTTTATTTGAGTAACAAGTTGACTTTTTTGATGTAAACATTTTAGAGACCATTTATACATTATTAGGGATCTGTTGAATAGAAAATGAGCTTAAGTATGAACTAAATATTGAACAATTAAACTTTAATTAGACTTGAAACTTCAAATTGTGTATCTGGGATTATTAAATCATTTCTTTCTAACTGCTTTATTATAATCATCGTCAAATGCCTACTTATTTATTTCCAGTAACTTCTGGGGTTAATCTCAAGGTTCTATTCTTAGTCTGTTTTGTTTCTTATCTACATTATTGATCTTCCTGACAACCCTACATCTATAGTAGCTCTTTTTGCTGATGACTAAAGTTTTTACTCCTGTCTTGACAAAAAGTCTTCTCTTTTTGATCACTTAGAATAGGCAGCCAATTTTGTATCTGATCTTACTTCTGTAACAGATTGGGGCTCACATATTTTAGCATATAAATTTTATTTCTAACTAAACTCAGTTATTTACTGCAAACAACTACCACAATACTGTTGACATTCCTATATTAATTAATGGTAACCCTCTTACTTAGTCTTCTTTTTTACATCTTCTTGGAATATTATTTGCTACTAACCTTTCATGTACACAAAATATACAATTGATTGCTAAATTAGCATCCCTTTATCATTATCATTGTTTTCTTGATTCCATTCTCTACCTCTACAAATATCTTTTTGTCCCTGTATGGAATGTTGTTGTCATATTTGGGCTGGTTCTTCTTATGATGCCCTTTTTCTTCTAAACAAGCTCTATCTGCTAAGCTTGAGCCTCTTTCCCATTGTCGTAAAGTTGCATCTCTTTCTCTTTCCTACAAATTCTATCATGGCGGCTGCTCAAAATAGTTATTACCTCTAGTTCCATTAACAAAAACTCTTTCTCGACTCTTTATTATGCTAAGTCTCATTCATTAGTTGTTAAATTTTGTTAAATATAATAAATGTAAATAAATGTTTATTGTGTCAATATACACTAAAAACAGTAAAGATAAAGTTGAGGAAGATAAAATTATCAAAGAAGTTTTTATACAAGACTGCTTCAACCGTGATAACCTTTAACCGTGTTAATATACCAAAACAAAAATTAATTCAGTAAATTTCAGTATTTATTGTCCTATTTAAATCAGAAATTAAAATATGAATTAAGATATTGCCATTAAAGTTAAATTTAGTAACTTAAACAATGAATTTTTGATTATTTCCCAAAAAACCCAAAAAAACGGACCCCTATGTTTTTTTTCCAAAAAAACGACCAAAAAAACCAAAAAAACAAGAACCAAAAAAACGCGTCACATCTCTAGGTGTGGTAATGTGTGGTAATGTGTCAATGTGATGTATTCAAGTGTAGTAATGTGTGGTAATGTGTCAAGTGTGGTAATGGTGTAGCCAGTAAATCCATTCGATGTTAAGTCCAAAAAGAATATAAAAAATACTTGCTTAATTACCTGATCATCTCACCAGAAGCTTCTTTTTACTGAGTAAGCAAATGATAAACAAAATGTTTGGTTAATGTTTGGTTTGTAAAAAGAATTCCACAAATCCTTTGTCATTTTAAGTACTACTTGTGCAAAATAAACATGGACATAGGTATGAAAAAGGAGATTCCAATTTACATAAGAAGTCTAGCTTCTAATGTTGTAGAAAAACAATAAATATTTAATTTAAAATTTAATAAAATTCTTGTTTTGTTTTTGAGTTTTTAACCTGATTACTTCAATCTTGAGAAGTTGAAAATTTCTGAATTTTTCATGTTACATTTTTATATATATATATATATATATATATATATATATATATATATATATATATATATATATATATATATATATATATATATATATATATATATATATATATATATATATATATATATATATATATATATATATATATATATATATATATATATATGTATATATATATATGTATATATATATATATATATATATATATATATATATATATATATATATATATATATATATATTATTGATTTTCAAAATATTAGCTAAAAATGCTTAAATTCAATATGTTACCTAACAGTATCTTTAAATTTCAATATAGGAACTTTAGCACGGATGAACTGTATATTACGAATACACGCTGAAAATATTAAAGAAAAGTATAAAATTATTGTTATATTACAATTAACAAATTCTTTGCAAAATAATAGTAAAAAAAATATATATGCATAAAAACTGTGTCAAAGGTTAAATTAAGCTGTGTTAAAGGTTAAATCAGGACAGTCAGGTGGGAATTCACAATCGTGAAATTATCAAGTATTAAAAAAATGATTTTTAAGTATTAAAAAAATATATCTCATAAAGTTAAATAGTTTTTTAAAATTTTTTTCATTAAAACTATTTATTTTTAGATTTAATTATTGATTGTTCACTGAATATTATTATTTAATTAATAGGTATTTGAAATGTAGAATGCCTTATGTTGTAGCCTTAAGTAGAAATCTCATATCTGCCATCTGACTTTTTTATGTGGTTAAATATTTTCAAAATGATAAAAAAATAATTTTAAAAAATATGCTTTTCTGAAAAGTTTTGCTATTAAATTTTAAAAAAAGAAAAAAAAATTTATCTATTATTAAATATAAAAAAAATTAAGCTATTTGAATAGATAAAAATATAGTTCCCCTAACAAAATAAATTGCCATAAGACCAGGGGTGTGGAGTCGTAAAAAAAAAGTAAAGACTCCGACTCCAGTTGTTGAAATTTTTTGAGTACAACTTAGACTCCGACTCCAACTCCGACTATAACTCCAAAGCAAAATTTTTGAAAAAATCTTTGAATTCTTTAAAAAATATTGCCCGGTAAGTTGAAATTTTTTTTTTGACAAATTTATGAAACATTCTTTGATGTTTAGTATGAACATAAGGTTAATTGAATGTTTTGTGAACTCCGATGAACTCCGACTCCGGTAAAATTGTCGCAACTCCGCGACTCCGACTCCACAGCCCTGAATTAGACTCATTAAAATTTAGTTTTTTTAATCAAAATTCTAAGTTATCACATAAAAATTTATATGAAAAATTGATTTTCAAAGCATGAAAATTATTTTTAAAAAATAACACCACTGCTGACATAAAATAGTAGAGCTTTATAATGCAATCTAACCTTATTTAATAATGCAACGTAATTCCAATTATCCTATATTAGACACCATTATAAAAGGTAGCATTTATATATTTACAGGCCTTTAAATCAAGCATATATAATAAAATCACACATAAATAGGCCTTTTTAGAAAAATCCCACAAAAAATGCTCAAGAATTTAAACTTTCTTAAAAAAAATAATGAAACTACATTTTAAAATTATTCTGAAATATTTTTGATTATTATCTAGAAGAGAGGAAAACTGCTCAAGAATTTAAACTTTCTTAAAAAAAAAACTTCCTTAAAAAACTTAAAAGTTCAAACTAAAATACTATTAAAATATAGCCAATGATAAAGGCAACAAATATGCATCCCTGACAAACAATGCTAGTGATTCGTTATAAGGCTCTCCAATATATATATATATATATATATATATATATATATATATATATATATATATATATATATATATATATATATATATATATATATATATATATATATATATATATTATTAATTATAATATATATATATATATATATATATATATATATATATATATATTATAATTAATAATATATATTGATGCCTGGCCTAACCAAACCCTCAGTCGATGTAGCAGCACTCCCTTGCGAGTCAGGCTATTTGATAGTCAATGCATGTACTTTTTGTTCTATATAAAAGTTTCTTATGGGCACATTTTCTTACAAAAAAAAAAATGCTTATGGGGACAAAAAATTATCGGGTACACTAAAATGTCCCCAAAATTGCTATGTCCCAGTAAGTGTTTATTTTTTCGTAAAATCTGTCCCCGTAAGTGCTAAACTATACAATATTATATATATATATATATATATATATATATATATATATATATATATATATATATATATATATATATATATATATATATATATATATATATATTGGAGAACCTTATAAAAAATGGCTAGCATTTCTTGCTTTCCTTGTTAATATTAAACAAAACTTGTTAATGACAAGTTTTGCTCAATGTTTTCCCCTATCCAATGGAATTGAATGGAATAAATAGAAACATGTTTAGTGATGCTACTGTGACCCAAGGATTAAAATAAATTACGAAATTTAAAACTTATTTTATTAAGGCACCAAAACTTTTTTTGTTTATATATACTTAATTATTTAAATATAAACAATAGTATAAGCAAATAAAAATTACACATATATCTTAATAACTTTTGAATTTCCTTTAAGTACCAACAAGCTTCACTTCGCTGGTCTACCTAAAACAAACAAAAAAGTCAAAACAGCTGTATACCAAAACCTACAAATAAATTAAAGCTCAAAATCAGGCATGGGAAGTCCCGAAAAGGACTGCAGACTTTAAAGTCACAAAAAGATTACTTTATCCTAATTTTTTGTATCCAGGAGCTCTAAAAATATAAATAAGTTTATGGACTACTAATAGGAAAAAAATTAAGACTTGTAGGTTAGAGGAACAATCATTTTTTGAACCTGGAGTCCTTAGGTATAATGGCGGCAAGGACTCCGGGATTCCAGGACTTTAGGCTTAAAAACAATAAGTATCAAGTCATTAAATCTCATAAATTTTTTTCTTATAGCAGATCATAAATCAACAAACATGTTTAGAGCTTCTGGACACTACAGACTTAGAAAAAGTAGAGATATAAAGCCGGAATCCTTTTAGGATTCCGCGACCCTGCTCAAAACAGTTAGTTACCAGTTCAATTATATATATTTAAAAACTTACTTGTCGTGTATGGGTGAGCATTAAACAAAAGTCAGCATCTGAACTATTTGTTGCAAAACCATTACATGATGAGCCAACTAGATGTAAACTACATGCTAAAAATAAATACATGTAAAATTAATAATATGTAAATTATATCGTCATCGAAAAATTAATGAAAAATTGAAATATTACTGGGAAACTGTTTTCTAAACACAGACAAAAGTGCTGAGCGAAGACAAATTTTTTTTGAAAGCAATTCTGCAGATTGTTGATGACAAGCAAAGTAGTCCAGTATTTCACTTGACAACTATTAAACAAAAATCACAAATATAAATTAAATTGCACCAAAAAAAAACAAAAAACATTTATATTGCTTTAATATCTGGGCATAGAAATACTTGCACAACTAGTGCAAGTATTTCTATATTTGTGTTTAAAATTTTACTATCTTTCTAACTCCATATTAAATTATAAATCAAAGATAAATATGAACAACAGTATTATGACTAAAAATCAATATTATGACTAAAAAATCAAAGTTACAATAACCTCACTATTAAATAGTTTAAAACTGTTTTAAAAATTATTGAAAATTATTAAAACATACCTTTTGATACTCAGAATTTTTCCACTCAACAGTTTTACTACTTTCTGATTGAATTTTAGCATTTTCTAGGTGTTGACGCTTTCCATATAGATTAACATTGGTTTTTTGGGTCAATTTTGAAAAATCACGTTTTCTTTTTTCAAAGCCTATGTTTAATTGTTTCTGAAAATCAAAAAGAATGAAAATAATTCAAAAATATAAGGATAAAACAATAACAAATGTGAACATGTATAAATATTTAAAAATTTAATATGGATGTTTTGGTAAGTTTATAAAACAACTAACATCTTCTTTAGGTGTTGGTGTTAATGTTAATGAAGGAACATTTACACTTGAAATATTTCTCCAAGTATTAGTTACTTGAAATCCATTTTGAAGATTTTGTAAATGTTTTGTTACAACTGGATGAGGACGAGTATATTTACGAGTTTTTTCTTCAAATGACTCGGTACCAAAAAACCTTCGGCCCTCATAAGTCATTGCATGCAATGCTTTCGGGATAATCTATCTAAATTCAGGATATGATAAAATTAATTATTAAAAAACATTATCTAAATTTACAATATTCATTAATATACTTTTAAAAAGTATCACTACTTAGAGCAATTTAAGAAGCTAATATAAAATTAAATATATTTCATATAAATATGGTTATAATATAAGTAAATATAATGTTTATAAAAAACTAAATATAAATATTTTATAATTGCAATCCCCTTCACAATTGCAATGTTTTTAGCACTATACAATAACAACATAAACAAAAACAACTTAGCAACTCATTTTTAATTCTTAAAAATTTTTTAATTTTTCGAAATTATCATCTTATCATAAATATATATATATATATATATATATATATATATATATATATATATATATATATATATATATATATATATATATATATATATATATATATATATTTATATATATATATATATATATATATATATATATATATATATATATATATATATATATATATATATATATATATATATATATATATATATATATATATCCTTTTACTCATCATTAAAAAGTAAGGTTAACAATGTTAACCTTCTTTTAACTTACGTTTATAACATAATTTTAGTAATAAATAAACGTAAGTTTAATGTAAGTAGTAAATAAACATGTAAGTTTAATGAAAGTAGTAAATAAACATGAAATTATCACATTTTATGTATTTGGAATTCATTCAATAATAAAACACCTAATATGTAAAAAATTACACAATTTATCAAATTACTATTATGTGTAAAATAACGATTAATTATCTCACAAATCGCGTAATTTTCCAACGGATTTAACACGAATTTACACGATTTGAGAGGTTTTTTTATTGGTATAAGAACGATTTTTTCTTTAGCTCGATTATGCAAATATGCAAGTTATGCAAACGGTATTATTTCTTTTTTTTTTTCTTTAAGATTTTTCAAAACTCAATGTTTTAAAAGGAATTTATATTCAAAGAAAATAGTTTAGGCATGAAAATGTTGTAATTGAAAATCTCTCAGAGTTCACAATTAAAATACCGATATGGGCAAAACGTACGCAGCATTAACATATAGTGTTTATATTTTAAATTACAGACATAAAAAACATTAGAAATAAAATAAAAACTATATAAGAAAAGTATAATTGTTATTAAAAATAAAATTAAAAAAAAAATTGAAAAAGGAAGTGTTTAAACTTTAAAAAAATCATATTTTTTTGAGAATAAAATGTTCTTTGGTATTGTCTATATTTTTTATTAAATAGAGGTTAATTTGCAGACCCGAAATGAAAAGTCCTTTTTGACGGAGCGAAAGTGGTTAGTTAACAATGTGTAGCTATGTAGTCTCTTGTATATTATCCTAATTTATCTTGGCAATCTTAAGAACTTTTTTTACTTTTATGTAATGTTTACTGATTATAATGTATATAGTTGTTTTTAGTTTATATTTGTGACCTATTACTTTTTGTTAATTTGGTTAAGAATTTCAAACGTAATATGGCTTTGAAAATAGAATAGTTGTTTTCGTAACTATCATTAAATGTCACTGAAAATAGTCAAAAAGTTATTTGTAGTAATAAATCGTTGTAGCCAAAAAGATAATTAGTCATAACTATTATTTCTATCTAAACCATTGTCAAGTTGTTTCTTGTTGCATTGTTTACAATAGTTGTAATAATTTTAAAATACTGTTGAGTTACTAAAATAACATTCAATTGATTTGAAATTTTTTTTTTTCAGAAATGGCTCCTTTAGAGATAGCTGTTGGTTTGAAAAAAGGTCATAAGACAACCAAAAACAAGTTAAAGCCATCTCAAGCAAGGAGAAAAGGAGTAAGATTTAATCATTATTTAAAGATTTTAATATTCAAGCTATTATTATAAAATATAATATATGAATATATAATATTGTAAATAGATTAGAAAAGAGTTTCTACAATTCCTTAGACTATTGATAAAGCACTATAAAAAGGCCTAAACGCTAAATTCTAATAGTATTTCATATATATATTTCATAATAGTATTTCATATAAGGTTCAGGTATCTGAGTTTTGAAGTACAATATATGAATTATAGAAAAAAAAATTGTTTTTTTCTTTTCATCAACAAAAATTTTTAAGAATCTTTATTACTTTAAAGCATTAAATTGAAATATAATTTTTACTAGAATACTGGTGTACTTCTGTGAAGTACACCAGTATTCTTCATTTTAAAAAAATTGAAAAAATAAGTTGTTGTTTGCAATATGATGAATTCAAATACTTTCGTTCTTCTGATGTTTCGTGAAGACTATTGATTCTGATTGCTGTTTTGTAAAATCTTTGTTGTACTTGTGCATGATTTATTAATGGCTGTTTTATAATTACCACTACAACCCTCAGAATTAAGAAAGATGAAGATTTTTACCAACATTTTTTGAAAGAGTTTCTGTATTATGTTGTTTTACATTCAATTATTTTGTTTTTGTAGTCTCTAATCAATAATTTTCATCCCGTTATTAAAGTACTAATCAACAAAAGTGCTTAATGCTTATATATAAATGCAAAAACTGTAAGTAAAATGCCAGATAAGCCTTAATCAAGCCTGTTGGCAAATATGTTTTAAAGAAGTTTTTTCAGTAAACTTTATGAGAAGATAGTTGTAAAATTACATTTACTTGTGTTACACTTTTCTGTGATGCAATAAAATCTCGTAACAAGGTCTGGTTATATATATATACATATATATATACATATATATATATATATATATATATACATATATATATACATATATATATATATATATATATATATATATATATATTATATATATATATATATATATATATATATATATATATATATATATACACACACACACATATCCATCAGTCAATATAGTGCTCCTTAGCAGCAGCAAGCTAAGATATACCTCTACAAAAGCTTCTGGCTTTTTTGGTGTGACTTTAAAAATGTTATCTAAATATGCATTCATATATATATATATATATATATATATATATATATATATATATCAGGGTATCCCCACTTTTTAAAAAACTGCTGGAAAGTGTTATTTTTGATAGACATGCTGAAAATATATATCTTGTTTTTGCAATGTGGAATTAAATAAAAAATTTAAATCATTTTTCTAATCTTTTGTAATTAAAAAATATTTTCTTAATCATTTTGTAATTAAGAAGTTTTTTTTACAAATGTTTGTTAAGAAGTGTACCAATGTTTGAGTAAATCAACAATTGGTTTTGGATCTGTAGTAGGTAAGTAAAAAAATTCAAAAGAAAAGATTTTAAAGAAATTTAAATTGCACAATAACGTTTATATTTATATAAATAAATTTAAGATACGGCAGAATCCTCAGTTGATTGCAATATGATGAATTCATTTACTTTCGTTCTTCTGATGTTTAATGAAGATTTTTTAGTGATTCTGATTGCTATCAGTTTACTGTGCTTAAGTGTTATACAAAAAAAATAAATACAAAAAAAAAAAATTCCATTTAATATACCAATGAATTTTTTAAGTTTTTGACAACTATTCTAAAAATTAAACAGGACAGAATGTTTAATTGCCATTGTTTAACTTTAAATAACAAAATTTATTTTGTTAATTAATGTCCAAATGGAGACTTCTGTCAGTCATTAACACTGCCTAATGTTTTCCATGATGGGTAGTTAACTATCTTTTGCATGTAGTCCTTGGGAATGATTCCAGATGTTTCTGTCTGGGAAATATTTTAATCTATTGTATCTAACTATTTACTCGATATACATTTATTGTCTTTTTAACAGGCTCATCTTATTATTAACTTGTTTTTATTTTGTTCTGATAACTACTTACAAATGATGTTTCTTTATAGAAATTGAGCAAAAATGTCAAGTTTGTTAGAGACATAATGCAAGAAGTTTGCGGACTTGCACCATATGAAAAGCGTGCGATTGAGTTGTTGAAAATTAACAAAGATAAACGTTGTCTGAAATTTATTAAAAAGAGGGTAATGCGTCTTATAAACTTTTAAATTATCTCAGTATATGTATAGAATTTCATTTATCTAATTTAAAAAACTTTATTTAGCTCGGTACACACAGTCGCGGAAAGAGAAAGAGAGATGAACTTGCTCGCATCAACAAACAAATGAGAAAGAAATAAAATCACTCAAATAATTTTTTTGTTGTTGTTGTTGGGGGTAAAAGTTTGCGTGCCTAGGATTTTTTCAAGGCCCCGGACTTAATTACTGGTATGATGTCTATACTAATTACTTAGTATTAAAATTGTTATATGACTTGAATTATTAAAGTCCGTCATGTAAAAGGATGGCTTTATGTATTATAAGCTTTTAATTGTACCTAGGGCTGCTCTCTAAGTTCAATTCCATAAAAATTGGGTTAAAACTAGTCTCATCTCAACATATATCTCATTGTCACAATTAGCAAATTTAAATTTGACCTTTTAAATTTATTTAAAAATTACAAGATAGTTTTGTAGATGTTGACTTAATGAGCCATAATGAATGATAATTAGTTTACTTATTAAATGTTGAACACATGTTGACTACCAAGGAGAACTACGATACCACGCGAGATTTAATGGTGCACCGTTATAGTAACGTAATCTCAAAATGCCTTGCGTTTCTGGAAAAATAAATCTAATTTTAGACCCATAACGGTACGCTTTTAAAGTGATATCCCCTCCTATTTTGAAATTTACGCAATGGGAAAAATTTTTTGACTTGAAGTAACAAACAATATAAAATGCAAAAATTTATGAAACGCCATAGCTGCCTTTAGTGCGTTCAGTTTATTATGCGATGTGCTTACTACATATAATTTGCGCACTACATTCTATGATGTGTTATTAAATTTTTCTTTTAAACAATTTAAAGTTATAAAGCTCAACAATAAAAATCAAAGAAAACATAAACATTTTTTTTGGTCAAAACTTTACAAGATGCCAAAAAAGGCATTATTGTATGTTAAGTCATTAAATTAAAATTTTTTTTCTAGAGGTATATTGTTTTTGATAGATGGTCTTGGCAAATTAAATTCACCGGAACATGTATTTGAATCATGGCGATACTTATTACAGGCCTTCCCGTCGCGAATCCGTATTTTTGACTGGGGGCGGACAATCTTACGGAAAAATATAAAAAATGGCTAGAAAAGTTTGCGAACTAATCCATTATTTTTAGTTAGTTTACTAAATTTTAAAAAGTAATGTATTAATGCAAAAAATGTCTATTGCAGTGTTTATTAAGAATCTTCAAATTTAAAATAAAAAAAAACTTTTTGAAAAAAAGAATAAAATACAATATTTTTCAGAATAATGAGTACCGTAAAAACCCCTAATTCCGGATGTAACCTAATCCCGGATGGTTTTAATAAAAAGTTTCATAACTCCCTTAATATAATGAATTTATGAATAATTTTTTTTAATTAATAAACGTCTTTACAAGACAAATCAAAAAATATAAAAAAATATATATATAAACTAATGCAATCATGAAAGATTTCAATTTGAAATCTCTCATAACTAAAAAAACAAAAAAAAGGAAAAAAAAAACTTTGACTTGCAACAAAAAAATTAAAAAAGTAAAAACACTATTTTGTGCAGAATTTTATGCTGATTATTTTAGCCAAAAAAAAAATTAAATTTCCTTTTGAAATAATTGAAAAAAATAAAAAACAAATTTGCTTCCAGCCAAAAAAAAAAGACACCTAATTCCGGATAGAGGTAGTTATTATTTTATGTACCTAGAAAAAATAATAAACAAATCAGCCAGCAGCAATAAACAAATACACTTTTGAGTCCCGGATACAGTTAATTACAATTGGCTATTTTATTTTTTATCACTTTCATGCACATAATGAAATATACGATGTTCATTAAGGTGGTAGTAAGGTCAAAAATTTCCAATTTATTGATTTTTTTTTAATATAACTTCTTAACATTTTCATTCATGCTGAAAACGATTTTTTTGATGTATTCTATATAAAACCGTCTATTTTTTATATAAAAAGTTGTACTATATAATATTGCTCCTTAGCAACGGCATAACAACAAGGTAAACACCATGTATATCATCTTATTGAACTCCCTGAAGAAAGTATTTTCTTAGAGAAATTACTAAGTGAATTTGGCGTCTTTTTTTGCCGTAAAAACATTAAACCAGCACTTATATAAGCAGTTATCTTGTTGACTATCATTACATAAACACATGTTATCTATTTCAGTTACAAATGTTGAATATATATAGAGTATGATTGTTTATTGTTGTTTTATAAACTATTCAGTGTAGATTAAAATAAATTTATTATTTCTAATCAATTAATATGAAAACTGAAGTTTTAAGAAGAAGAAAAACTGGTGCCTTAAGAGTGTTTAAAAAAAGAAAAAGCACTTCAAAAAATCAAGTTTGGAAATTTTTTTCCCAAAATATAAAGATACTTCTGCGAGCCAAGAATTGTCATTAATTGATAGAAATCTAAAAATTTAGCATTTTACTTAACTTTACAACATCAACCAGCAATGTTATTGCCAGTAATGAACCTAAAGTAAACTATTTCAAAGTAAGAAGAAAGGAGTCTAATTTTGTTTTAATTGATCTTAATATAATTGTACAAACTCTTACTTTAGTTGGAACATGCCCTGACTGAGAGCAATTCAATCAATATTAATATAGATTATAAAAAGAAAAAAGGTTTAAGTTCTTTGTTGCTATTGAGTTGCATTAAACTTTTATGGTAAACAAAATTGTATATTAGTAAAAAAGTTGCAAGTAAAACTTCTGAAAAGTTTTTTGATATATAATAACATTCAGTAGTTGCGATGTTACAAAATTATTTTGGAATTGTGGTTTGTCAATGTTGTGGGAAATCTGTTAATAAACTAATAAAAGCTATTGAAGCTGTATTATTTAACTACTCTGAGCCATTATCTTCTGATGTAAGACATGCTATGTGTCCTCAAACTAATTACAAATATAAAGGATATAAATTTGATAAAACATATGTTAATAAAGAAAACCCTGGACTGCCTATTGTTATTAGGGACATAACCAGTATTCATAGATTATCAGATAAAAGCTTGTTAAAAAGTGCCTTCATGGAAAAACTCGAAACAATAATGAAGCCTTAAATGCAATAAATTTGAATCGAAGTCCAAAAATGTTTGTGTGGGGCAAATTGCTTTAGAGAAAGGTGCAGCATCAGCTGTTATTAAATTCAATAAATGATTTAACTGGTTTGTTAAATGTTTATTTAGAGCTTGGTATAAATCCTAACAAAAACTGTATTACATTTTGCAAACAAAGAGATTGTCAAATAGTTAAAAATATTGCTAAAAAAAATTTGACTGATGAGGTAAAGCAATGTCAGAAACAAATAAGGGCAAAATAAAAAGATTTTAGTGATCAATATGAAGAAAGTAAAGAAGTAGCTTAAAGCTCTGGCAGTTTTGAGTGGTTTTGTTATATTTCAATTGATATAACTACTTATTTTAAAAATTTAAATTTGATTATCATAATTTATTTTTTTTTTAGTTCGAAGTTTTTATATTTTTTTTAACATGGATACTAACTTCTTTATTGTACTTAAAAAATTAGTTAAAACTCATTATAAACTTAGTTTATTAATATTGTTGTTAGTTAATACATTGAAGAGTGATTAGAAATCTTTAAGATTAGAATGAGAGCTTATTTTATATTTTAATTTGTTTTTTTCAATGTTAATTTTTTTAAATTGCTGTTTTCTCAGAACAACATTTTTTAGCACGGTGCGATAAATCACTTGGGAACTACTTGTTATGGTTCTTTAAAATTTTGTTCAGTTGTAATAATATATATGATAAACTCATTGGAGCAGTATATTTTTTTGATATTATATTTTGACAGAGTTATGGACTTTTAAAGGGGGCTGTTTGGGGGTAAAATTTGACCCGTTAGTTGTATATGCTGTATCTCCTTGGTGCTTTAAGCTTACTTTATAATTCTGCTTCCATGAGTTCTTTAATATAATACAAGTAAACACTGAAAGTTTGAGTTTTATAGCATCTACCATTGTCTCAATATTTATCGCAGCACCTATTGACTGTTAGGTTTCACAACCCAAAACCTGGGTCCAAAAGTAAAATTTTTTTTTTTTTGAATTTTATGTTTTTATGCAGTCTTTTAATATGTTATGAAATCAATACTGCTTGGTTAAAAAAAATGATTTTAGTATTTTGACCATACTACCACCTTAAAATAATAAGAAATAAAATAGCCACAAGGGAAAAATAAATTGAGATAAAGCTATTTTTTTTTAGCATCCATAAAGTTAACGCATTTGTGTTAATTGTATTACTGTATAAAAGAATATGGATAATTTTAAACAAAAAGAAGAGCGAGAGAGTCGAATCCAGCTAGCTATTCAAGCTATTACTGAAAATAAAATGTCATACGTACAAGCTGCTAAGTGTTATAATGTGGCAAAATCTACACTTTTTGACAGAACAAAAGGATCATCTAATAATCGAGGAGCGCCAAGAAAGATGAGCAACATCACTGAAGCTATTATTGTTGATTTATTAAAATTTATGAGTGATATAGGTTTCGGCTTGAATAGAAAAGACGTGTTTATTGTTGTTGAAAACTATTTAAAAGAATCAAACCAACGTAGTCTATTCAAAGACGGCAAACCGACTAGAAAATGGTACTCCGGTTTCATGAATAAATATCGTAAAGAAATTTGCCCAAGGAAAGTAAGCGGTATGCAAACTATTAGAGCTGTGGCCACACAACCGGCTATAATTGACAATTGGTTTGAGCAATTAGCAGTAGCATATAATGTACATAATTTAGGCGATAAGCCGTTTCAAATATTTAACTGTGATGAATCTGGTTTGCAATTTGATCAAGGCAAAGTCAAAATTATTTGTAGAAAAGGAACAAAAAACCCTAAAAAGCTAGCACCATCGAATGAAAAGCAAATGACGACAATCTTGACTTGTTGTGACGCATTCGGTAATTATTTACCTCATCAAATAATTTATAAAGGCAAACATGTTATGAAAGACTGGTGCAAAGGCGGTGCCCAGAATGTTTATTATAACAGTAGTAGTTCAGGCTGGATGGAATCCGAACATTTTTTGTCGTGGTTTGAAACAGTTTTTTTGCCTCACGCAAACA